AAGTAGGACATTCAATTATCTGTTGACATTATTGCCTTTGACAACATAATTTGCATCATCGGATACTGAATGTTGTTTTCTATAATGAATATTCATTACAATATTGATTGTTTTATAATCTCGGCAATCAATTCGTTCGTTGAAAGTTTAATGTATCATGCTTTTGGATCTCCTATTAATCATATCAAAGTAGGGTAATTGATGGTTGGAACGTGAACTAGTGTACAGTACAGTACGAAGCTTTCACCTCACTCAGATGCAGTTTTCAAGCATTCATCCCTTTTAATGTGAAACGAATAAATTACTGAACAAGGAACAAGTTTCAATTACACTTATAGAATTCCATATGGCACCGTGCGTTGAACATTCCTTTTTCCACAATCTGTCTTTGTTAAAGGTATTACCAAAATAATAAAAATGCTATTACCCCAGAAAACGTTTTTTTGATGGTATGTTTCGCTCTTTGAAGTCCTTAGGCAAATATATTCCTCATTCCAAACACGCACACTGCAACAGTTGCCTGCGACACATTTGGGGTAATGTTTGAATAAAGTGCAAACGCATTAATGCTGTCATATATGAGGCAATTGTGAGGACTCAAAACACATATACCAGCTAATCTGATTATATGCAATCAGCTTTTCCAATTAGCTTTATATCTAATTAACTTAGCCGCAATGTTAAAACTTGCAAAAATGCAAATGCTAAATACCCGATTTGTAACGTTTATTATGACCTATTTTAACACTGGTACTCTATTTTTGGTTGCTGGTACAACTTCTATACATGATGTTTAAGAAGTGAAACATATCAGAGGCAATATTCCCGAGCCTTCGGATTGAGTTGCCACAGTTATATCCAGTGGAACAAGATTGTTTTCTGTTCTAGGTGTCGGAGGTGTCTTGGCAGATGTTGAATTATCTTTGTTATTTGCCATTTTATTACCAGTGCTCAATTAGTGGTACCCTCTTTGTGTAATCAACGGAGTCTTTGAGAATTTGTTTCCATGAGATGAAAGACGGACGCCGTGAATAGCCACAAAGGTGAGAGTGACCACGTAACATCACCTTCTTTATTACCTCTCTATTCCTGATTCAAAAGAAGCCCTCTTCAGGCGCCTTATCTTATACTACACAGCAGGTTGTGCCACAGAAAGGCACAATCACCATACTCCAGTTGGCTAATACGAAGACATCGCCTCACAAACCGTTTCCTGTTTCATAGATGTTGGCGCTTTCTAACTTACTAAAAGTCATATATTTACATTATTTTATGCATCAATGTAGGACAGTGACATAATAACTGGATACTAGTTGTTCGTGTTTCGAAGAAACGATAACCAGTGAACTGCGAGTCGGGTCGATTCGTTTTGTGTTGAAGTCTGTGTCTCCTTTAACGCCAAATGGAATCTGTTTCAGTAGAGAAGTAAGGCTGGTTAATACCTGTTGTTTACGTTTTTACTTTTAAGTGTTAAAAACCCAGACATTGCAAATACTATACTAGGGGACATTAAAACATGACAAAACTGTTCAACGTTCCAACAATATATATTTTTATGGTTTGCCTGTACCTCGTTTTACAAATATTGATATATTTACAATTCAATAGATAACTATGAATTTGAATTATGCACACCATATTAGAGAGGTTTCAAACATTTGTGTGAATCAGGAAAATGATTCAGTGTCAGCTTTCACGGCAAGCTCTGGAGCGCTCTTCAACAACTGGTGTGAGCATTATAGCTTCAAAGTAGTCAGAACCATTCTTTGCGTACCATATAAAGATATTGAGTGTTAAATTTATTTTGAAAACAGAAAAGTATGAAAGTTTAAAAATAATTCGTTTGGGTTTTACAACATGTTGTACAAGTGATAATCTCTCTAAGAAAACTACAACTATATAACCACGATGCAATTTGTCATGCAAATAAAAGAGCAGGATCAAAATGTAAATCATGTTTTTCAGTATTGAATACTATCAGTACGTTTTATAATACGTCAGTTTTGTTGAATAAAAGAAGATTGTACAATCTACTGAACACACTGAAACGTACGCCTCCGTCACCAAAACACCTGAAACGTCCTCAAAAGGAACAACTCCGCCAGTAATAACTTCGTCAAGCTCATGTCAGACTGACCTGACATGGCTGAATATAGATATTCCCCAGTCTATCTCTGCTGAACAGTCTACTCAGACACATACATCACTTTCTACACAACAGATCGTATCTCCTACGACTATTACTCCTTCATAGTCTAATAGAAATGATAAACAAACTGCAAAATCGAAATTCAAGACAAGACCAGAAACTCCCCATGGTCCCTCGTATGGTGATCTACCTTCAGTTGTTGGCGATCTATAGCCCGTTTATATACTGTATCGTCCTCTATAGTTAAACTGTTTTAGTTTTAATTATTTAATTACTAGTTTTAAATATATATCTGTGATAATCTAGTTGTTTTACTGTCCTTCGTTGACAGGTGTTTATAATTTAATTTTTAATCATTATAAATCTATACCTTGTTTTAGTCACGATATGGCTGAAATATTGCCGATGTGACTTAAAATCTTAACTCACTCAATCTCACTCACTCATAATTTCAACCAAGATAACCTGGTGTACTCTCTTCTGCCTTCAACTGATAAATGTCCACAAGATCTATCTTGAAGGTGAGTGAGTGAGTTCAATTTTAATGTCACATTGGCACTGTTTCAGCGACGAGACCAAGTTTACATATATAAAAGTATATGTTGTGATATTATGATGTCAATTGCAGGTATCCAAACCAGACAAGCATTTAGGTCATGACTTGTATATTCCCTGTCCACTGCGAGGGAAGTCACGGGATCTGTTAACGGGGTCTAATTTTAAACTCATGATAGCCCTTGATCACACTGTTTTCAAGTCTGACTGGCTACCTTGAAGGTGCATGACAAGAAGCTGCCGGTCGTAGTGGTTGAGACAGTAATCGACGGACAGGTACTGCAGCACAGTCTTGTCTTACTGGCTGTGATGAACACCTAACGGGAGTAACCTGGATACAAAGGAATATTGCTTGACTAAGATCAACGAAATGTAAAATTAATGCTTTTAGGCACACTTGTCTTGTTTAAATGCCTTGTCATGAGAAGGTGAGATACGTTTCAAACATGCAGTCTTTGGGTGATGTAAAACATATTTTGACAACATATATAATGTCGACACATACATTTATAGTATAGGTTTGAACGTCAAGTTGAAAAGTACTCAAAGTATTGTAAATAATAAAAGTCCCACTTCTAGTCAGAACAACATAATGCACACTGCGTTTCTTTTAGAAATACATATTAGAGAGAAGTTATGTCATATTTCTCTTTGTGAAGGATAGATGGTTTCAGTGTAATATACCTAGTGATTAGTATGATTCTCACACGAAGGGCACATGAATGGATCATCAGCTGAAACATTGGGATGAGTTGAGCAGTGTGAATGTATCCATCCCTTGCTAGAATCACATTCCACCCAAACGTGACCACATTCAAGTTCCTGATCAACAACCAATAATAATAATAATAAATAAATGCATATTTATAATGCGCCCCTTCCACACCCTAAGGCATGCTCAAAGCGCTACAAAATATTTTACACTGGAGTATTTACAGATGAAGTTATACATAATATACTGAGAAAGGTGGGTTTTAAGTCTGGACTTAAAATGTCAATTGTGGCAGAGCTTTTAAGGGCACATGGGAGAGTTCCAGAGCACAGGCGCGGAGTAAGAGAATGATCGGTGTCCGAAGGATTTCAGTTTGTAGGATGGGATGACCAGTCGGTTTTGTGTGTTTGAGCGCAAGTTGCGTGCGGGGACATACGGATGTAGGAGTTCAGACAAGTAGGAGGGAGCCAAACCATGGAGGCACTTGTACGTCAGACAGAGGATCTTAAAAGTCAATTCTGGCCCTAACTGGTAGCCAATGCAGTTCTTTCAACACTGGTGTTATATGGGAACGTTTAGAAGTCTTGCTGATGATGCGGGCGGAAGTATTTTGGATCTTCTGAAGCTTATCAAGGAGGTTAGAACTGAGGCCCGAAAGGATGCTGTTACAGTAATCAAGCCTAGATGTAACAAGAGCTCGAACAAGGGCTTGAGTTGCAGCAGTTGTCAGGTATTGCCGAATGTTACCAATGGATCTTAGGTGAAAGTAGCAGGTCCTGCTCAGACGGTTAACATGAGCATCCAGAGTCAAGGAAGAGTCGATGTGGACACCCAAGTCCTTAACCACATCAGAGAATCTGACGTCAGAGTCTGCGACTGTAAGGGTGTCGGTTTTGACCTTGCTGAGTTGTTGCTTTGTACCAATGAGAACTGCTTCTGTTTTTGTGTCATTAAGTTTAAGCATGTTTCCTGTCATCCAGCACTTGGTGTCCTGCGTACATTCAGCGATGCACTGAAGAGACGTAGATAGATCTGACAGATGAAATGCTTTCAGGAGCTGGGTGTGTCATCAGCGTAGGCATGATGAGAAACTGTGTGGTCTGTAGTTATCCTTCCGACATATCCGGTATACAACACAAACAGGACTGGACCAAGGACACCCATACAGATGGCATCCTCCTCCTCTGGAGTAGCCACTGGTTTAACTCTGACTGAAGCCTTCTTCTGACTTCCAAATGACTTTCCCTTGGCAGGAGCGGCTCCTTGCAACATAAACTGAGCCTTTGCTCTTTTTTTCTCGTTTGGCAAACTGTCTAACTTTCTGAAGATTCTTTAAACTCATGCCCCTGATGCATTCATCTGACGTTACATTGTCTGGCATATTATCAAGAACATGGGTTCTCTTATTCTCTTACGCAAAGAAACGTGCTTGTTTAAATGTGGCAGTACAAGAGATTCTTGCAGGATTGGGGATACCGACAACGTATCAACATCAAAGGACGACTCTCCATCATCATCTTCAGTCATATCAAACAATGTGGCAGCGCTAGCATGGAGCTCCATTCCAGACATGTCCGCAGTGGTTCAGGTTGCATCAAGGATACTGGTAGTCTTCATGCATGACTTATCATAACGTTTCTTGTAAGTGTCAAATAATGGAGACAGCCCAACTACATCATATCCCTCCTGGATACGTTTCTGGTACTTCTCCCTTAATGGTGTTGACAAAGCATCTTCCAGGGATCTTAAGGCCATAGCAGCACCTGTGTTCTCATCCGATATACTGTGTGTTTGGGTTACAGTGGTCGCGTTGGAGCTAGGTCCTTCATGTTCCTCACAGACTGCAAATGTGAGTACAGGTTTCACATGATCCAATGTGATGACAGAGCTGTCAACCGGGAAGATGCCAGAAGATCGAAAACTATTAATGACTGTGGGTGGCTTATAGAATAAGAGAAAAGCCTCCTGCAGTTTCTCAGCAAATGTTTCCTTTCCAATGGACAAACCTGGGTGCTCTTGGCTGTGCTTCCTAACTACCTGGTTCCATCGTGTCTTTAAGGGCCAAAACAATCCTTTGTCGAGAGGCTGCATAACATGTGTAGCATTGGCTTTAATTCTGTACAACTCAGTGCCCCTTTCCTTAGCATCCTGGAAAGCTTGGAAATCCACATGACTACTTATGCTATCGATCAGAAGGACCACACGCCTTTCCCTCCCACAGTGCAGATCAAAGTGCTGCACAAAGGCTCGTAAAGCAATTGCATCCATCCAACCCTTTTTGGTATAATCAAATGAACTCCCTTCAGGTACACCTGACAACGGATTATAGCCCCTTGGTTTAGGAGCCGGATATACGTAAAATGGAGGCATCATCCTGCCGTCGGCACATCCACAAAGCATCACCGTGGACCGTTGTTTGCTTGATCCTCCAGATGCATGTGGCACCTGTGAAGAAGTGCTGCCTCTCCTGGTTGGTCCAACCACTGTACTCGCCTTGCTTCCCATGGAAAAGCCAGTCTCATCGGCATTCCAGATTCTCTCCGGTGAGTCAATCATGCCTCTGGCGATGAGAAAGTCATAACTACCAGGATACTTATACAGTGCAAGTTAACATTGACTTTGATGACTATGAAGCTGTTGTGTCAGGTAATCCAGAATTCTGGCCAGCGGATATTAGAAGTAAGGACTATGTTCCTAAAAGCAGGATGAGATACTCATATGATCAAGCTGACAACCACAACTTTTAAGGTGACTATGTTTGATATGTTATTTAGACAATATATCATGATGTATATAACTTGTATTCGCATATCCTTATGGCTCTATCCTTTCTGACATGGAATGTGAGAGGTGTTTTACATGGTTCGGACTATATAACCAAAACTTTGTCACTTCCGGTTGACGTCATTTGCTCTACAGGAGCACTGGTTATCTACAGATAACATAGACAACTTAACAGCATTTCATGACACTAACCTAATGGCATACAAAGCTGTTCCTCGTAATCTTTCATGTTCTAGGGGTTCAGGTGGATTAGCCATTTTAATTAATAAGCAGAGTAACTGGAAAGCTGAAGCTGTCTCAACTCTCACAAGTCATGCAATAGCAGTCAAACTGTCCCGTAAACATCATACAGATGTTTTATTATTGCATGTAGACTGCCCTCAACAAATGTACTACACTCTGTTTATTGTGATGCACTTAATGAGATTTTAGACATTTATGATAACCTCTGTCAGCTTGGTACTACTATTATCATGGGTGATCTCAATGCAGATATATGTAAACACCCCTGTCTACACGGGCCAAGCATCTCAATAACATGGTACTTGATAGATACCTTTCACATGTTGTTGATGCAGTACGATCCAGAGGCCCCGGATTTACATGTCGATCAAAGATAACCTCTCTCAAAGCCTAATCGATTATTTTCTTGTTCCATCTTGGGTTCAGGGCTATGTTACAAATTGTGAAGTGATAGACTCATGCCCTTATTCAGTATCCGATCACTTTCCTTGTCTTATGTCCCTTTCAAGAACGTCCTACGCCGTGATGATTTTAACCAAAACCCTAAAGTCCCAAAATGGAACAAAGCTAACAGGGACAACTTAGATATGTTTGAGTATGAAGTAGAAAAATATCTCAGTTTTGTATATAACCAAGGCACACAATCTACAACTGATCATTGTCAAGTTATAGAAAACCATTGTCACATTATTACTAACGGCCTTATACAGGCCAGCTGTAAATGTATCCCACAAAGTACATTCAAGCCTTATCTAAAGCCATACTGGAAACAGGATGGTTTAGATAATGCCCACTACAAATATGAGAGTTGCTCGTAGAGCATGGGTTAACAGTGGTAAGCCCAGAGGTGACGACTCGGATGTATTATTATCATATAAAACTGAAAAGTCAAACTTTAGACGTCTGCATCGAAAATCTAAAAGATCTAAAAGCATGGGATTTTGACTGAAATTGAACATGCAGCTGAACTTGATATCAATACCTTTTACAAAACTGTCAGAAAACAAAGATCCACAACTGATGTTATAACCACACTTAACTATGATAATGAAAATGAATCAACACCTGCTGGTATATGTAGATTGTGGGGTAAATATTACTCGGACCTAGCTCAGCCACACACCTCACAGATGTTTGATGATGAATTTAAAGATGAAATATGTCAGAGGGTTGAATCTATTGAAGTATTAGATGACTATTTAATCGATGAAGGACTGGAAAGGATTTTACAGATAACGAGGTACGAGAGATTGTCAAATCTCTCTGCAAAAACAAATCTCAGGCCCAGATAACATTACAAATGAGCACATTATCCACGGGGGTCAGGGTCTCATTACACACCTTTTGTGACCTGTTTAACAAAATAATTAAATTTCGCTATGTGCCTTTTAACTATAGACTTGGTATGGTCATTCCAATCTATAAAGGTAAAAGGAAAAATCCGATCCCCGAAACTATGGGGAATTACTCTAACGTCATGCCTTGGAAAACTTTTTGAGAAGCTATTACTTAAACGAATAGAAACTAAATTACTTGAAAATAATCCTTACTTCCCTGATATACTCCAGTTTGGATTTAGAAAGGAACATGGCGCAGTTATGAGCGTTTTTGCTCTTATTGAAAGTATCAGATATTACATTGAGAGAAACTCTACAGTATATGCTGCTTTTTTAGATAACGAAAAAGCATTTGACAGAATATGGCACGATGGTCTATTTTACAAGTTACATCAACTAGGTATCCAGGGAAACATCTGGAAACTACTGCACTACAGCTATACAAATAGTTATGCTTTTGTAAAATATAAGGGTGAAAACTCTGACAGGTATCCTATTAAGCAAGGTGTTGGCCAAGGCAGAGTCATGTCGTCCTGGTTCTTCCTAGTGTTTATCAATGATTTAATTTCTTCACTAAGACAGGCTAGTAATGGCCTAAGTGTGTATGGTGTGAATGTTCCGACTATATTGCTTGCTGACGACACAACACTTGTAAGTACTTCACCAAAGGGACTTCAAACTGCTCTCGATACTGTACATACATATGCCAATAAATGGCGCTTAACATACAATCCTGCAAAAAGCACAGTAATCATTTTTAATAAACGTAAACGTAAAGTTAAAACTGTAAACTACACTCTTGGCAATGAAAACATCGCACCAGCAGATTCCACTACTTACGGCGGTATACTTCTAACGTCTGATTTAACATGTAAATCTAGAATCGAAAAGTGCTGTCAGAAAGCAAGACAGAGTGTTAATTCCCTTAAATGCTTGGGGCTAAATAACACTGACCTACATCCAGCTACCAGTGTTAAGATATGGCAAAGAATGATTCTGAAAACAAGTTTTATGGCTGTGAACTATTGTTTGACATTAAAAGGGCAGCAACTTTGGTTGCTAGAAAACTACAGCGGTACTTTGCCCGCACTGTCCAGGGACTAGATAAGAGATCTCCGTCTGAATCCACTATTGCAAACTTAGGCTTGTGGACCATGATTGGCTACATTGATAAAGTAAACTCCAGTTCTTTGGCTCTTTATGCAACGCTAGTTGTGACAATCTCATAAAACACATATTCTGTGCTTCCATGGCTAATACACCCCGAAAATCAACTATTTGTGGAGATCTTCAGTCTGTTTTGTGCAAATACAACCTTATAAACTACTTACATACGTACTTATACAGTGGTTCATTTCCCCAAACACCAGTGGAGACGAATTACAAACAGACACGTACAAGAATATGAAGAACACATCTGGCGTAACAAAGTATCACTTAATGCAGGACTGTCTCGTTACATGCGAGGTCATACATCACTGACATATCACATACTTTTGAACTTAGCATTTTATACCCTGAACACAGAGCAGCCTTGCAATTATGTTTTGAAACTTTCATCACGAAATAAAATCTCAAAGAATGTTTGTTTTGTAACAAGCACGCTTATGACTATGACAACCATGTGATACTACACTGTGAAAAATTATTAGGTCTCGAAATAACTTTTTCTCATCTCTGATTGATCTACTTGATGTTGAAACCTATGTAAATTTTGAAATGTTGGAAGACGAGGAAATGCTGTCAACTCTCCAAGGTGCAGATACACAGTTCACACGATCCCTAGTGCGGGACACATACCATGCTGTCATTATCAACTTTGCAAAGTATGTCTATCATTTGAAACAATATCTTGAGTTTGTATTTTAATGGAGTCACAAGTGACGCCATCCCTTGTGAATGTTTCTGTACATATCAATTGTCAACTATGAATAACATTGTCTTGTTTGTAAATACTATTGTATTGTATGTTTGATTGATTGCATGTATCAATAATCTTCGGATTGATTTCTGGAGGAAATAAAGAATCTCTCTCTCTCTCTCTCTCTCTTCAAGGGGTGTCTCTTTTCTCGGTTGAACAATGTGTGAATTTCTTTTTTAAAGGAAAGAGTGGTACCAGTCATACCCCCTGGTCTGTTGTCTTTAAATGTGTTACTCTATTTTCCTTTATGACTATGTTCTAAAAATCTAAAACTCGCATGGTTTCAAGCCCATCCCCGAGATGCCATTTCCTTTAGCCACTGCACCATCTGTTCCTCCTCTCTCTGGTTGAAGGAAAGCAGAGGCCCATTTTTTTTATTGATATCTACATCTCCCGACAACATACGATACAGAAAACCATATGATTGGTTTTACATTTCCGCCGCCTTTCTGATGGATACCTTTTTTGGTTTTACGGCCTACAAGGCTCTTCTCACTCCTATGATTTCTAGGGTGGTTGGGGAACTGGTTTGCTTGGCTTTATACTTTTTGGGTGATGCTTTTGGCCTTCTTTACAGCGGGGCTCTGTTTTGTTTCCTGGGACTTACTTTGCATGATCTACGTCTCCCCATGCGGAATCTATCTCTCACAAATCAGTTCCCCGCCATTGAAACAAGCGTTAACCAGATTCAGATGTGGCTGCCACCAGCTTCATGATCGAAATGGGGAGACGTTTGGGCATAGACATCGAGAACCGTTTATGTAGATACTGCCTTCGATATAATATCCAGCTTGTCGAAAACGAGTACCGTTTTATCCTTGTCTGCTGTGCCTTCGCCGACTTAAAGAAAGCAGTATATTGAGTATAAATACTATAGTAACCCCTCATTTTGAAACATTTGTTCGACTTATGTCTTCAAATCATTAACTACTTCTGTGCATTTGTCTAAATACATATATTTTGCTTTGAAATTGTGCATGAATCCACTCCATTTGTAATCCACAATATTGAAATGTTTTTGTACACTGTGGGCCTGTGGCCTAGAAAAAACAATAAATAAAACGACTGGCAATATGTTCTGTACAGAATCTAAAACTCGCATGGTTTCAAGCCCATCCCCCTGATGCCATTTCCTTTAACCACTGCACCATCTGTTTCCCTCCTCTCTTTGGTTGAAGGAAAGCAGAGGCCCATTTTTTTTATTGATATCTACATCTCCCGACAACATACGATACAGAAAACCATATGATTGGTTTTACATTTCCGCCGCC